TAAACAGCAGGGAATGAAATAGTCCTGAGACCCAGGCTGGAATCCTCTAGAGTAGTTGACGCAGGCCTAACTCACATCATCTCTGGAGTGATGAATGCTGCACAGCTCAGAGCTTCTTTATAGGGACTAGACCAGCAACAGCCCAGGATTTACTTGGGGTGACTGGCATAGCCCTGGGACGAAGCTCTTTGGAGAATGTGACAAAGGCACAACTCAGAATCCACCAGCAATGTGGACTGAGATGAGCAGAACCCAGAGGGTCTCTGGAATGCCTGACAAACACAGAATCAAAGACTTCTCTGGAATGCCTTGCTTGTACAGAAAAGCCATAATTTAGGACTCCCCTGGAGTCACTCATTCAGAAATTTTCCAAGGCTGCTTTAGAGTGACTGACACAGACCAGGGCTTCTCTGGAATTTACATAGACGTCACTTGCAGGAGGTGAGTAAAGGGGTATAGACTTGAAATTTCTTGCAAAGAGAATGGCTCACCACCAGAAATATATTCTCTCTGACACATTTCTGAGAGACGTGGAATGGCATTAGAGATTTCATGCAAAGGACATGGAGTTTTACAGGATTTAACAAATCAGGGAAGCTAGGGAAGAATAGAACCAATGATTATGTATTTATACTATGCTTTGGAAAGCTCAAAGTGTTTGCATATATTTTACCTCAATCACTCTCATAAATCATCCTGTCAGTTGGGGAGGGTATTTTTTATAACTAACATTTTACAATTGAGAAAAACCATAACTCAGAAAAGTAAAGTGTCTCGCAGCTTAAAAAACTAACATCCAGAACTTGAGCTCTGAACTCATGATACCAGAGTCCTTGCCATTATAGCTATGTGGTCTCAAACGATTGTTTATGCAGTAGTTTCAAAGAGTTCTCTTAAATAGATTATCTAGTTCTTCTTTATTGGAACAAAACACAGAATCCCCAGATATTATGCCTAGAAGGGGACACTCTGGACAGAGATGCAGCTGACTGGACAACCTCAACTTTTTCCCAATAATCTTCCCTTTCCCTAGCATTCTCTCTCCCTCTCTGATGGCTACAGTCACAATCACAATTATCAAAAGCTCTATGCTGCACAAGAACTAAGAACAGTACCTGAATTGTACTGCACTGAGAACGTTCAATGGAAAGGAGACAAATGCAAAGTCTTGAATCAGGTTTCACATTATGTTTCTTACAATCGATAGGCCTTCATAAGATACAGGAGGGGCATTTCATGGCAAAGGAGAAAAGCAAAGACCAGGTGAGTGGAGTTCTGAGACCCTGCCTCTTCCTTAAGTTCAAATCCTCGCTGAATTTAAGAATTACCATTCCCTGTAAAATATCACACCCCTGCTTGGAAAATCAGAAAACTTTTATTAGTCATATGAAAGTTCCCTCAACTTTATTAGCTGATTGTACAATGACAGTGATTCTCTGATACTTTCTGGATTTTCGATCTGAGAATCTTTTTGTCTTCCAAGCCTTTTGTAATATGTTGGCCAATGTCTAACTAGATTCATTTTGTTGCCTATCCTTAAAATATTCTTAAACTCTGTTGTGCTTGCAGTTTTTTTTCACTTTCAACTGTCATAGGTCTATGCTATACTTTTATTACTTTGTTTTATATTTATCCAATACCACTTTATCAGAAGGTTTGATTTAGAATCTTTATGAAGTATAGAAACATCAAAATAATAATTATGACAATAATAATTTAAGTTCGAATAATGTACAATTCTACATTTATTTCCATCTTTCTTATCAGACAATAATTTAAAATATTGTTTAAAGGGTTGTTTTTAATAAACATTTAAAAATAGTGATCACTTTAGCCCATCATGAATTCACTAAGAAATTTCATGACAAAGAACCTTAACATTTTAAAACATTTTAATATGGCAACAACAATCTCATGAAAAAAATTCACCAAATGTGTTAGTGAAATGCAGATAAACCATATCAACACTGAGATCTAATGTCAGTTTCCTCCAAGGGTCTTTTTGGTCATCCCCATCCCTCACATGGGTATAATTAACTACTGTGTCCTTGTGTTCGTCATACCATTATTAAATACCTTTATAACAATAGTTTATATAATGATTATTTTTACAAATAGCAAAAATAGATAGACCAAGTAAGTAATATCATTAAAATAAAAGTTAAGCTGGGTATAGTGGCACAAGTTTATAATCCCAGCAATTTAGGAGGCTGAGATCAGAGGATAGCAAATCCCAGGCAGCTCCAACAACTTAGCAAGGCCCCACGCAACTTAGTGAGACCCTATCTCAAAATGAAAAAATAAAAAGAGTTGGGATGTTGCTCAGTGGTTAAGCACCCCTTGGTTCAATCCCCAGTACCAAAAAATAAAAAAAGTTAATTGGTAATCCTACAAGAATTTGTTATTAGTTACCAGGTTCTAGGCAATGTAACATGGATATGATAATGATTTGGGTTTCCAAGGAGTATTGTAAGACACATTCGTAAATATAATTATGATACTAAACCATTGTGATAAAGGTGTTCTAAAATGCTACGATGAACAGAGTACAGAGTGATTAATTATAACCATGTGGGAGAAGGGGATGACCAAAAGGCCTCTGGAGGAAACTGATATTAGATCTCAGTGCTTATGGTTTATCTGCATTTCAGTCATTTGGTGAACTTTTTCATGAGATTGTCATTGTACATTATAGAGGTATGTTTCAGGTGTTAGCACATCTAATTGTATTTTTTTTATACCCAACCTGTGTCTAAAATGATTTAAGTTTGCTGGTATAAAAAGGTAGATGGGGGGCTGGTGATGTGGCTCAAGTGGTAACGCGCTCACATGGCATGTGCGGGGTGCTGGGTTCGATCCTCAGCACCACATAAAAATGAAATAAAGATGTTATGTCCACCGAAAATTGAAAAAAATATATTAAAAAATTCTCTCTATCTCTCTCTCTCTCTCCTCTCTCCTCTCTCTTTAAAAAAATAAAAAGGTAGATGGTTTTGCCCAAGAGGTAAAAATTGGTGTGAACCCATTTTGGAATATGACTTAGCTGATAGGTCTCAAGATCTTGACTCTGTCCTGTGAAATATTTTGATTCAATATTTGAGGGAAGTGGACATCCATGGCATGCTAAGTGATGCCAAGCTGTCATAATAAAGTTTTTAAAATATTTTCTCAGAACATAACAAAAATTTTAAACAAAATAAATTTACCTTGGAAGACAAAACCTAAAATAGCACCTATGAAAACAAACAAAAAAACACTCTGCAATCTGACCTGAGTGGCTCAACTAAAGAAACAACAGTGGCATCAAACTGCTTTTAAAATAATTGAATCTTAGTCTACATTAAATATTGAGCAGTTGGAGTTAAGTCCTCTGCTAGATGCAAAAGATACCAGTGGTCTCATTTGTCCTCATGGTGTTGACAATTAAGAAAACATAAATAGATATATACATACATAATTATAAAAGTTCTCTAATTGAGATTTTCACAAAATATTGAGAAAGTAAAAGAAATAATTCCTTGATTCTTCCAGGAGTGGAGGTGGGGGGTGGGGGTGATCAGGGAAACCTCACAGAGGAAGTGATGAGATTCATGAGGTGAGCAGAAAATTATGTGTACTTATTAAGAAGATTCTAAGACAGCCGTGTGCACAAATGCAAAAATGGGGTAAAAATTTCTTTTTGTGTGTGTGCAGGAAACAAAAAGTATTCTGGTGTGACATCAGCTTTGTAGGGGACTGGAATCTGGGAAAAGAGAATGAATAGGATTTGTCTCTCTTATCATTCTTTATATCTTTGCTAATTTTATGATACTATATAATATTCTTTTGTGTTTATGTCTAAATTCCTTAGAATGTGTGTACTGTACTTACCTTATATCTACATAGATGTTTCCCTGATTATTTCCCATATTTTCTTCATTTTCCATTAATTCATTCAGTAACAATACACTGAGCATCTGCCTTTCTAGGCACTGGGGTAAAAATGTGAATTACACAATTTCTATTCTCAAGAAAAATACTATCTAGAGTATAAAATAGTCATAAAGTAATGATTATTCTAAAATAAGGACAATGGAAATATTATTCCACTTCTCCAGTGTTTCTTCTATATTGGAATTCTCCCCCATCTTTCGAATTGGTCTTCCTTTGCTCTTATACTGCCACCCTATGCCAAATGCTCTAGTTTGTCCTCAGCAATGGACTCAGACTCATTGCTATTCTGAAAAAAATGAGTGAAAGTGTCAACTGATGATTAAATTCATGACATGGAGTCAGACCATCTGGGATACCTTCCTAATGCCCACACTTCCTGGCTGCTTACCCTTAGAAATTTATTACTCTATTTTTCTGTGCTTCAGATTGCTTTATTGTAAAGTTTGCCTAATAAATAGTACCAGCATTTTTAAGATGTCATGAAAATTAAATAATATCTTCAAAATGCTTAGAATAGAATGTGATATTTATTTTCATTGTCACAGATGTTCATTCTTACTATGAAAATAGATGAAACATCAAAGAAGTTTTTATAAAAGAAGTGATAACATGGTTAAGCTTTTACAAGTAAAAAGGAATCAGCAAAATATTTTTTAAACAATTTTCTCTTTTTTTTCTCTCCCTGCCCCTCCTTTATGCTTTACCCATACTCCATTTCTTGCTTCTGCTCAGGACTTTACACAAATATTATTTATTCAGTGAAACCTTCCCTGACACTCTCCACATCCCAAATGCCCATATTGTCTACTTTTTTCTTCTCTGCTGCTCTGAATACCATCTAACATACTTTATGTTCTCCTAAAATCATTTGTTTATAACCTATCTTTCCTATGAGAAAGTGAGTTCTATGAGAGCAGAGATTTTTGTTTATTATCATCTTCAGTATCTAGAGCAGGACCTGGCTTACAGAAGATAATCAATATTTATTATTATTATTATTATTATTAGTAGTAGTAGTAGTAGTAGTAGTAGTACTAGGGGTTGAACTCAGGGGTACTCAACCACTGAGCCACATCCCAAGCCCTATTTTGTATTTTATTTAGAAACAGGGTTTCATTGAGTTGCTAAGAGCCTTGTCATTACTGAGGCTGGCTTTGAATTTGCAATCCTTCTGCCTTAGCCTCCTGAGCCACTGGGATTACAGGCATGTGCCACCACACCAAGCTAATCAATATTTATTGAATAATTAATATTTCATCTTAAGTATTGAACAGCAGAGCCTACAGGCTGTTTGAGCTATTGTTTGGATAAGAAGTAGGTTTTAGAAAGTAGATTCAGCTGGGCATGGAGGTGTAGGCCTATGATCCCAGCAATTTAGCCAAGCCCTAAGCAAAATAGTGAGATGCTGTCTTAAAAATAAAAAAAAGGCTAGGGACATATCTCAATGATAAAGTGCTTCTGGGTTCAATTCCTAGTACCAAAAAAGAAGCAGAAGAAAGAAAGGAGAGTCAGCCTTATCATCATCATGATAGTAACAATAATAATGGTTAGCATTTATTGAACATTTTTAATGCACCTTACAACATTCTAAATGCTTTTAGATTTATTCCCCCATTCAAGTTTTCAGGATCCCAATGTTGAAACTTAGTTATTGATACAATAACAAAATCTTCCATTTCTTTTTCATAGGATTTTATCGTATTAGTCACACTAGCATATTTGAGTTGGACTTTACTTACATATAAAATACGAACCTCAGATTTTCTTGAGAATCAAGACACAAATGAACCAAGAGTAATAGATGAAAAGCTTCATACTCAACACATCTAGGTTTGGTCCATGGTTTTGGCACTATCTCCTGTCTGTGTTCCCTTGGACCACATACAGCCACATGGAGAGCATTAAGCCCTGAGATAAATATAAACCCATTTCTATGTTGTATGTCTTTCTGTTTAGACTGAAATTTTCTGAGCTTAATAATGGAAGTTCCTACAACATAGTGAAGTATTCCCAAGTATGGGCCTCCTCAGTTGGACCTATTCAGCTCTCCTCTTTAGATATCATTTGATAATGTCTGTTCATATTTACTGATTTTCTCCTTCCCACCCTTTTGCTTTGCAGAAAAGATGTCCTGACTGATCTCACCACCTTTCATATGCATCAAATCTCCTTTCTCCAGAAACACTTATCTAAGCTTTCTTAACACCACTGTCAAATAGAGATAGAAGTAGGAACATAGCGTGAAGCTGGGACTTTGGACATTCTCCATTTAAAAAAAAAAAGTCATGTGTAGCTATGCATAGAGCATCTCGTTAAGTCTGGAAAAAAATGAAATTCTACCAAAAATGTGTAATTCCACTGATCAAATTTTCTTTGTTACATATTAGAGAGGACAGATATTTGATCTTCAACAACTATAACAAGGAATGCAGAGAATGAGGACACAGGAGCTTCCCTTTTTTATAGTATACCAGGGTAAAAATAACATGGAAAATTCTTCCTCTCTAGAGTTTAAATGCCCAGTGAAATCTTGGGCAGGAGAATGATGTGGGGAAACTGGACAACGGTCAGTGAGTTTGTTCTTGTGAGCTTCTCAACCCTTTCCTCTGAGCTTCAGGCTCTACTGTTTCTCCTGTTTTTGGCCATTTACTTGATTACTCTAATGGGCAATGTCCTCATAATCCTGGTCACTACAGCTGACTCTGCCCTGCAAAGTCCTATGTACTTCTTCCTCAGAAACTTATCCTTCCTGGAGATAGGTTTCAACTTGGTCATTGTGCCCAAGATGCTGGGAACCCTTATCATCCAAGACACAACCATCTCCTTCCTTGGCTGTGCTACTCAGATGTATTTCTTCTTCTTCTTTGGGGCTGCTGAGTGCTGTCTCCTGGCCACAATGGCATATGACCGTTATGTGGCCATCTGTGACCCCTTGCGCTACCCAGTCATCATGAGCCGTAGGTCCTGTGCCCAGCTGGCAGCTGCCTCTTGGTTCTCAGGGTTTCCAGTGGCCACTGTCCAAACCACATGGATTTTCAGTTTCCCCTTTTGTGGTCCCAACAGAGTAAACCACTTCTTCTGTGATAGCCCTCCTGTCATTGCCCTGGTCTGTGCTGATACCTCTCTGTTTGAACTGGAGGCCCTGACAGCCACTGTCCTGTTCATCCTCTTCCCTTTCTTGCTGATCCTGGGGTCCTATGTTCGCATCCTCTCCACCATCTTTAGGATGCCCTCAGCTGAGGGAAAACGCAAGGCCTTCTCCACCTGCTCCTCCCACCTCCTGGTTGTCTCCCTCTTCTACAGCACTGCAATCCTCACGTACTTCCGACCCCGATCTAACACCTCTCCTGAGAACAAGAAGCTGCTCTCACTCTCCTACACAGTGGTGACTCCCATGCTGAACCCCATCATCTACAGCTTAAGGAATAATGAAGTGAAGTCTGCACTGAGGCGGGTTGTCCGCAGGACCCTGGGCCCTCAGAAACTGTGACTGACAGATGGAAACTGTGACTAACAGATGGAAACTGAAGGGGTAGCATGTAGAGACAAAGGAAAGAGAACTGAATTCCTCAAGAGGGTTTTGGTCTCTATTCTTCCCAGGAGACACAGTGTGTGTGCCCACTGGGATTTGGGACTTTTGACCAGGATCCTCTTTTGAAAGAAAGGACATGAGCAATGAAATCAGTACAGCAGGCTCAGTATGCTGTGAGACTACGGTAGAGCGGACTCTTCATAAATGAGGATCCTCTGAAGGTTGAATTTCTATTACAATACACCATTTTTTATGTTTTAACATTGAGCTTCTTCATCCATTTCATTTTATGACTTGTACTTGACTTTTCTTCTATTTGCCCAAAACCCCTATCTACATATTTCCAGGGTGTTTTTATTTACAAAGTAATAAAAGTAGTTACTAATGATAATAAATAACTGAATTTTTTCATTCTCTCACTCATTTTTTTTTCGACAAATTTTAAGTTTGCGCCCAAAAAATCCCCCCCAAAATTTAATTCAACATTTTGCACATCAGGTCCTGTGTTGGCCCTGAAGGCACGTTAGTGAGGAAAACAAATAAATTTCTTGCCTCATGGGATTTATGAAAGGATGGTTAGAAGCCCCAGGGGTTTAGAATGTACACCTTTAGGTGGCTAGCACCTCAGGGGTTCTGCCTCTGCTACAGTGGCCTATGCCTTGTAGCATGGTAAAAGACTCCGCACTGACAACAGCCTAAATCTCACATTAGCCACATGGGATATGAAAGCTGCTTGACATAAAGGGTAAAGAACTCCCCAAAGATAAGTAGAGAGAGATTATGGGAACATGCTGTAAGGAACTGAAATGATTCTTCGTGTACTCAACTTTTTTTCTGTAATCTTAATGTGATTGAATGAAATCAATTGTCCTTTTCAAGCTGGCTTCTTATTTGGTCCAAGTAGTTTTTCCTAGTGAAGTAATATGACTCTGGACTCTCAGCAAACAGCAGCCTTGGGTTCCAGGCAATCTATCTGTGTGCAAACATATTCCTAATATTTCATTGATAATCATAGGGCTAAATAGTATTTGCCACACAAGCCTATCCCCCCACCGACTCTATAAATAACCCTACCTTTGTGTGCCATAAAGGACAAGGTGTCCTTTAGCTCTCTTGTAGCAAGGGCTCCCAAAGGACAAACTTAACAGCAGGATAATAAATCATTTATTATAGCATATAAGGTGTTATATTAAATTTATACAACAATACATATATAAACACATATACTATTTATGTTACATAGTAATTTAATGACAAGAATGTCAAAAAATATTACTGATAGTTTCAGTGGTCTGATTTGGACTGGACTGCACAAATGTTCAGGCCAATGTTTAGGGAGCAAGGTTCTCAGTGAGCAACTCTTGGCTTGGAGTCATGCCCAAAAGTTATTTTATTACATGTAAAATTCTCAGTACAAGAGGGTCAAAATTTTAACACAAAGGTAAATCTTCCAAGGAACAAATGGTTGGACTGATGACAAATTAGGGATCAAAGGCAATCAAAGTGCTTGATGTATGGCTAAAGAAAGGGTTATTATAACCAAGGTTTAGGCACCAGGTATGGCAAATGTTTTTGTAAATCTCTTTAAGGTATTACCAGACTTCCTATCCAGGTTGCCTTCTCTGGATTTAGGGTCTGATTTACAAGTTCTCCCAGTCAAGTAAACAAAAGAATTCTGAGAAGAAAATAAGGTGTGGAGACATCTTAAAAATATAGCCTATAATTTAAAAAAATTATAGATAACAATGATGACTGCCTCTCATACCTACTTCATACAATTGTATGTAATACTTCCCAATAAGAAAGTCCTTATAGAGGCACTGCCCTAAAAACTTTAGGAGCAGATGTATGTCCTGACATTCCATCCACCTGACCTTGGAATCAAAGGGTCTCATCCCAGTAAAACTTGAACATCCAAACCTGTACCTTGCCAGATGCTCAAAAATTTTTAAATGAAGATCAGTTTATATCAAATAATCCTCACTCACTATTGCCACCACTAAAACCTACGTCTATTGTGTTCGTACACGATGAGGCATAATTTACTATGAGGCTGTTGTGAAGGCCTAGGGAGGTGACTCATTGAATTGAGAGACTCTAGACAACTTGAGACCAAATGAAGGCCCTGCTTTTGTTGGAGTCCCTCATGGTGGTGCTTTCACCCAAGGATTTGCCCCCACTCATACTGGACTCGCTGTCGCTGAAGCAGTTGATGGTGAAATTGTTCTGCTGCTTTTCACTGGCATCCACCATGGTCGATCCTGTGGAACAGGGACTCATAAGGAGTCGCTGACTACTACTTAGGCCTGAGGGCTGGTGTAGAACTGCACCGGAATGGGGTACATGTCCATGTGTTTCAGATCATTTGCTATCTTTTATGGATTATTCCTTTGTTCTCTGGCTTCTAATTATAATACAATAGCAGAGGATCAAAAGGTAGATGGGGAATGTACTTAAAATGTTTCTCTCAGTGGCTTGCTCCCTCCATATCACATAGTCCCCAGCTCCTGCCTGGTCCACTCTGCATATAGCTATCCTTTCTAGGTCTTAATACCCTCCTCTTTGTCCCTTAGGCTTAGGGTTGATTATAACTCCTCACACTTGCTAGCCCCAAAATATGTTATTATTGATTGTAAGATTCCAAAACTCTGAATTCACCACTGTGAAAGTGTATCCTTGTAGATCTGATCTTCATGTCTCTTCAAAAAAAAAAGTGTAAGATGGACAGCAGAGTTCATATAGTCTGCTTCCTTGTAGACGTGTTTTCCATTTCCTCAAGCACACATACAGATATGACATGTGCTCACACACAGCACCTAGCTCATGATAAGTGAAAAAGCAATGTTTGTTAAATGTTTATTATTTTATGATATAAAAAATTCAGAAATACTCAATGATAGATCTAGAATAGACATCATGTTTTAAAAGATTTTACAAGGTCACAAGCAATTGTAGCACACACCTGTAATCCCAGCAGTTTGGGAGGTTGAGCCAGGAATATTCAAAGCCAGCCTCATCAATTTAGCAAGGCCCCCAGCAATTCGGTGAGATCCTATCTCAAGATAAAAGATAAAAAGGCCTGGGGATGGGCTGGGATTGTAGCTCAGTTGGGAGAGCGTTTGCCCAGTATGTGTGAGGCACTGTGTTAGATCCTCAGCCACCACATAAAAATAAATAAATAAAATAAAGGTATTGTGTCTGTCTACAACTAAAATACATTTTTTAAAAAGGGCTGGGGATGTGGCTCAGTGGTAAAGTACCCCTGAGTTCAATCCCCTGTATAACAACAACAACAAAAAAAAGATTTTACAAGGTCTATGAAATATTACTTTTTCTTAGAGGAAATCCTATTATGTGTCAAAGGATGAACCACAAGGAAGCAGATCCTGCATCCTATTGATCATGAATTATTATTCTTCTCCTTCTACAAATGAACTGCTGCATAAATGATAGTGAATCCACGGTCAAGGCCCGAGAATGAGAATTTTGCCATATTTAGATTTACAAGGAAGAGGACTACCTAGCAAGTCTTACTATGTAAGAGGTCAAAAGTGTCTCTGAGTCAGTGGGTGATTTCAAGCTGGCACCGGAAATTCCTTGTGGCTACTTTCCTCAGAGCTCCCTTCACATCCTTGTTTCTCAGGCTGTAGATGAGGGGATTAAGCATGGGGGTCACCATGGCATAGAAAACAGACACTAGTTTCTCTTGCTCTTTGGAAGACTTTGGAGTCATGTAGGTGACAATTGCTGACCCATAAAAAAGGGTGACCACCATGAGGTGGGAGCCACAGGTAGAAAATGCCTTGAGTCTTCCTGCAGCTGACTTCATCTTGACCACAGTCACAATGATGCGGCCATAGGATACAAGAACTAAGGAGACAGGTATGAGGAGAATCACAACCCCCATGAGGAAAATGGCCATTTCTGAAATGCGAGTGTCTGTGGATGCCAGGATCAACAGTGCAGGGGCCTCACAAAAGAAATGAGCAATACTGTTGCTACCTTGGTAAGGTAGCCTTAGTGTGAAAGTAGTGTCCACCACAGACACTAAAATGCCACTGGTCCATGATCCTGTGGCCAGTTGGAGACACATCCTCCAGGTCACGATGCTAGGGTAATGCAAAGGGTTACAGATTGCTACATACCGATCATAAGACATCACCGCCAGAAGGGCACACTGTGTACACCCAAAAATGAGGAAGAGCAGAAGCTGAGCTGCACAACGTGTAAATGAAATGACCTTCTTTCTGGAAAGCAGGTGGACTAGGGCCTGAGGAACTATGTTGGTAGAGAAACAGAGGTCAGCCAGAGACAGGTTGCAGAGAAAAAAATACATGGGTGTGTGAAGCTGGGAGTCAACCTGAACAAGGGATATAAGAAGCAGATTTCCAAGCACAGTGACCAAATAAATACCCAGGAATAAGATGAAGAGCAGCTGCTGGGTAAGGGGGTCATCAGAGAGTCCCAGAAGGAAAAATTCTGTCACTTGTGTCTGATTTATCTGCCTCATAGCCTGTCTCCCTTTTCAACAAGAAGTCACTATCTTGTAAACACAGGTGTGCATATCCAGGAATGACCCCAATCACAATAAGCCTTTTCAAAAATCCCCTTTTCAAGACCTTTAGATGACGATCATGCTGCTTCAGTTTGAACACTTTCAGTGTTTTGGAATAATACTTCCTAAGATAGTGCTTTCATTTTTTGGTTTCAATTGGTAAGTGTAGAGTAGATCAAAAGAATCATCTTCCATGTTCTAAATATCACACTTTTAAGTTCAGCCATGTAATTTCCATGTCTATATCATTTTCATCTCTGGGTTCTTTAGAAGACATGACAAAACATTTCATTCAGTAAGTGAATCCCATTTGTCTAATGCTTCTTGTCACATTTCCTCCATCACATGATTTTGTTTTGTTTTGTTTTAAATATTTTGGACATGAAACTGATCTGGTTGTCTCTTTCCTGAAAGGACAGTTAAGAAGGTGTAAGACTTCAAAAAGAGCCAAAATACCTTATAGAATTCATGTATATCTTAGGGAAAATAACCTGCCTTGAAGGATCTGGGGACAACTCTGAATATCCCTTGGCAATTTAATCTCAACTTCCTCTGAGCTCTGCAATACAAATCTCAACTACTAATGATCTTCTAGAACAGAAGACATACTTGGCTGGTTTCCTACTTGACTCAAACAGGACTACTCCACCACCTTTGCCCAACACCTCTCACTGCCTTGCATTTTTGATTGTAAAACTCCTTGGAAAGCTGTCTATGCCATTTTTATGTCTGGGTCCTTTAGAAGACATGACATACTACTTCATTCAGTAAATGATCATTAAAT